ATTCATGGGTACTTCAAGGTCAGGTGGCCTGGATATAGTCTAGTTGGGGCTTTGTTTCCTGTTTCACAGATAAGAAGACAGGCTCAAACCAGAGTGACTCCTCCCACAAATGTGGTGGCAGAGCTACAATGGAAAGTCAGGCCCTGCTGTGATCCATGGCGGACAAAGCCGTTGGGTACAAACACTACTGCTATCGCGGGCAACGAAGCGTTTCTTTGCTGTCACATGGTTTTCCTTAAAACGCCATGAAAATGTCTCACATTACATGTATTCTCAGTGGGTTGATGTGCGAAAAGGTGTTAAATCGCCATAAAATAAAGGGACTCTCCAGGAAGCGCATCGTGATGTGCGCTGGGCACCGCCCTTGCCCCCGTGGGAGAGACACAGACCAGTTACCGTGATGCCGGGCTGGCTGCAGGGCCTCTCCCCGTCCTGCTGGCGACCCAGGCCCTACCCTCAGCTACACCAGGGTCACATCCTGCCCGTCCAGGTCGGGACCAGCATCCCTCCTCCAGAACCTCCATCCCCTTCCAGGTGCGGTGGCTCCTGCCCTCAGCCCACGGCACACTGGGAACCCTGCCACACGGTCACCAGTGCCCGCTGCCTCCATAAGGGATGGCACGTAGAGATAACTCAGCGACATTGCTGATTAGTGGACTTAGGGGTGACTGGCCTATTTGTCAGCATGCTCCCTCCCTCACCCTCCCCCCAGCGGTGCTCACTGGCTGGGCGAGGGGCTCCGCAGGAGGTACCGGGCCTGCACGGCCCTCACGTCTGCTTCGTCCTCTTCACTCGGGACGACCTGCTCCTCCTCGGGGTCCCCACGGGCCGCCATGGCACCTGCCAGCCTCTGTACGTTTGGTGTGAAAAAGGCAGTTGAGGAATCTGGTTCTGGGGGATTTTGGGGTGGGGGGAGGGGTATGTTAGCGATGTCACCTCATTGGACCTAGGAATGGGGGGTCACCGTGTGCTAGTCCCCTCCTGGTGAGAAGATGCACAGGGGAAACCAAGTCACACTGGGCCCAGCCACTGTCACCAGGACACACAGACTCACACCCTGGCCGAGAGGACCCGTCTGCGGAGCCATAAGACTTACGGGGCAGTTTGGCTGCTTCCACAGATGCCAGCAAGGAAGCAGGGGAGGGAAGGGGGCCGGAAACTGAAGACAGTGAATTCCCCAGACCAGAGAGGTCTTTCTGTTGAAACATGGACACTCACCTGCGCACACACATACACACACACACACACACACACACACACATACACACACACTCTCTCTCTCTTTCTGCCTCTGTTGGGGGAGGGGCAGCTGGCCTCTAGGGTCTCTGGCCCAGGCACCAATGCCCAACCCTCCCCCAGCCCGTTCAGGAAGGAGAACTCCCTGGAGCTGGTCCCAGGTGGGCTGGCCCCACACCTAGGCCAGAGCCCATGGGACAGAGGAGAGAGCAGCACTCACCGCGGATCTTGGTCTCCACACCACGGCGTCTCCCAGGACGGGGGACCCAGAGGAAACGCCACAGCCTGACCAGTGAGCGGCCCCACGCTGTCTCCTCGGGCCTCTCTGAGGGGCAGGACAGCTGTCACAGGAAACCTGAGCTCCCTTCTAAATTTAGGCTCTGGCCCCACAGCAGGCATATCTCTGGAGAAGGAATGCAGGCTCAGACCCCAGGAGAGCGGCCCCACTTAACCCTTTCCCTCTGGGCCCTTTCCCCAGCCACCGGTGGCCAAGGGGGGGATCTTCACGATTTGTAAGTGGAGAACCTGAAAAAGTTTTGGGGGTTCTTTCTCTATACCCTCCCACCTGGGTGCTCTCTCTCTCTCTCTCTCTCTCTCTCTCTCTCTATATATATATATATATATATATATATACACATATATATATACATACCCTCCCTCTTGGGGTCCCTCTATACATACCCTCCCTCCCCATCCACCCATCCACCCACCCACCTATCTATCCATCCATTCACTCATCCACCCACTTACCCACCCATCCATCCATCCACTCACCCACCCATCCACCCATCCACCCATCCATTTACCCATCCACTCATCCAATTATTCATCCATCCACCCATGTACCCATCCACCCACCTATCCACCCATGTACCCACCCATCTACCCACCTATGTACCCATCCACTCACCCACCCACCCATCCACCCACCTATCCACCCATCCACCCATCCACCCGCCCACCTATCCCCACCTATCCACCCATCCGTCTACCTATTCATTGGGATCTATGAATTACACTGTACTTGACCAAAATTAGTAATTACACAATTACATGCTTAAAATGGTCTTTCTTCCTGGCTAGGTGGAAGAATGCCCAACACACACTATCATGAAAAATTGGCTGAAGACACGAATGAGCTCACAGTTTATTAGGAGGAATGAGACCCGGGTCAAAAATAACTCAGGCATAAGTGTCCTAAGAGAGCTCCCGAGAGCGGTGAGTTCTAAGAAGGGAGACAGGCCTTCGGCTGAAGAAATCAGGGAGGCCCTCACAGAAGAGGCCTTCCCTGAGCTGGCCTTAAAGGGCGTGTCGGATTGTGACAGCGGATACGGGGGGAAGGAACTCCAGAGGGGACGGCGTGAGCAAATTCCTGGGGTAGGAAACCATGACTGCTGGGTGTGAAGAGACGTCTCACTTGGTCAGAGCACAAGTGACACATTATGAAGGAGACTCCTGGGACAGTAGGCTGCGTTGGAGAATGAATACTAGAATATATACACCAAATACCAGAATATATACACCAAATACCAGAATATATACACCAAATACCAGAATATATACACCAAACACCAGAATATATACACCAAACACCAGAATATATACACCAAATACCAGAATATATACACCAAATACCAGAATATATACACCAAATACCAGAATATATACACCAAATACTAGAATATATACACCAAATACCAGAATATATACACCAAATACCAGAATATATACACCAAATACCAGAATATATACACCAAACACTAGAATATACCCACTGGGAGAACCCGGTGACCGCGGCTGCCCCACAAAGTGGGACCAGGTGGGGGGAGACAGGATTGGGAGCAGACTTGCTTTCCACGCTATTTCCCTTTGAGTGCTCAGAGGGATCAATGTGAAATCAATGTCTGCTGGCGCTGGCACCGGCAGAGGGAGAGCCCACTGCTCTTTGTCATTGAGGACATTCCCTTGTGCCACCCCCTGCCTAGAACCTCACCACACCTGGCACATGGTAGTTTTAAATAATTATCTTTTTAAATGAATGGATTCCCTAGGGCCTAGGGCATTGGTCGGCAAACTCATTAGTCAACAGAGCCAAATATCAACAGCAAACGATTGACATTTCTTTTGAGAGCCATTTTTTTTAAACTTAAATTCCTCCTAATGCCACTTCTTCAAAATAGACTCGTCCAGGCCGAGGTAGTTTAAGAAAGAGCCACACTCAAGGAGCCAAAGAGCCACATGTGGCTCGAGAGCCGCAGTTTGCCTACCATGGCCCTAGGGGATCCTCCTAAGATGAATCACTAAGTGAAGCCTGGGCATGTTAACTCAAAAATGAAAAGACATTTCAACATGAGAGGCAAACAGCATTTACTTGAGACCCACACAGCTAGCGATCTGGGCAGCACAGGTGCTATGAGAAAGGGCAGGATGACCGTGACATCAACAGGAGGAGGCGTTGTTAGGGTGCTGGTAACATGACGTGGTGATGCTAATCCTAAATGTGGCTGAAATTTCAGTCCCGTAGTCACAACAGCCGCTTCCTTGTTATCTTTGCAAACGGTTCTTTGGGACACAAGTCGCCCTAGGCCCAGTCCACGGGTTATTTCGCCCTGTGTTAACATTCTCGATATTTGAGGCATACGCTGTGCACAGCGGTTCCTCGGGGGACGGCTGCTCCAGGGCCATTTCAAGTGGTTCCGTTGGTAATGTTTTATTAACAGCGGGAACAGGGCAGGAAGGGGCAGGGTGGGACTGCAGGGTGCCATCAGGTGGGCCAGGCTCACAGTGACGGGGGAAGGAGGGTGTAGAGGGCAGTGGGGAGGGAAGACAGGAGCTAACACGATGAGAGGCACCAAGAGGGGGCCACGCAGGAGGAGAGGACGGAGGGCCTTCGTCTCCTCTGTGCCCTTGGTCCCCACCTGAACCTGCAGAGGGTGACATGGGCCACTGAAGTGGACCAGAAACCAGGAAACCACGCTCCAGCTCCTGCCCGAGGAAACCCCTTTAACTTCTGGAGATGCTCAGTGTTTGTAAAACAGAAAGTCTCAAGGCCCGCCTCCCCGTGGGCTCCCCTGCCCATTCATGTCTGTTCCACCCCCAGGCCATGCCCCTGCAGGACTCTGACTCTCTCAGTCTCAGCTTGTTGGGACTGAGGGGTTCCAGAGCCATGGGACCCGGGACAGTTCCCAGCACCCTGAGACCAGGTGGCCATGGTTCTCCAAGGTGTGTTCTTTGATTGCTTGTGTCCTGTCTGCCTCCTCCCCCAGGCGGTCAGCTCTCTGAGGGGACAGATTTCCTGTCTCCTCATGACGGGTCTAGCGTGGGCTGGGCTTGTGGGTGGGGAGGGGTTAGAGGGCCATACTGTGCCTCTGGGTGGGGCAGACTGTGGGCAACGCCCTTCTCTAACTGGCTTCAGACTCTTCTCTGAGATCATTTCCCGTTTTATTACGAGGCGCCAATTTCCTGTCCATCATAGGGAAGCCCAGGACTTTGTACACCTGTCAAGAGGTGAAGAGGCAGGAAGAGAGAGTTCAAGAAGGCGGGCAGGTTCCATCTGGGGCCTTGGGTGGTGGAGGTGGAGTGCAAGTCCAGCCCCACAGGTGAGTGCACCTGCCAGTCCAGGCGTGGGGCGGGGCGTGGGGCCAGGCTGAGCTGGGGGACCAGGAAGAGGAGCCCTCGTACACCTCGGGGCGCTCTAAGGAGTCAGCCACCTGCCTGGGTGCTGCCCGTTCCCGGCTGGGCTTGTGGCGACGAGGCAGAGGACCATGGTGGGGACGACGCGGGTGCTGTGGGTGCTCTGTGCGGGTGAGTAGGCCCTTCCCCGCCCAGCGCCCAGGGTGGGCACGTCTCCCCTGAGGCCCCCGGGGCCACAGCTGTGTCCTGCTGGGCAGAATGACACGCTCTGTCGTCCAGGCTGTGGGTTCCGATCCAGAACCCACAATCAGAAGGTTTCTCATTCCCAAATTAGTAAATAGGGGCCCAGCCCTTTTCTGAAGCGAAGAATTAGCAAATTCGTATTTTCTGACCCCAAATCAGAATAGAGGGTCACAGGATCTGAACCTTGGGACAAAGTGTTTGAAATTGAGTTTTTCCTGGGAAATCCAGGATCTATGGATCTAGACATGTTCACTACTTGAGATATTAGCTTTTGCCTTAAAACCAGAGAAAAAGTCAATGTGAAGGCGTTAACATCTGCACCACATACAGGGAAACTGAGGCAGAAAGACAATTCACCTGGCCCAATACCACTCCCAGGGCAGAAGACAGCCTTCCACCAAGAACAAACAGGCCCTTCCCATGGCCCTGTTCCCCTGCCTCTGGTTCTCTGCTCCCTGAGAACTCAGAAGACGGGGCCCCACAAAATCGAAACTAATCAGCTGTGGACACGCAGCTGAGTCCAAGCCATGTCACTGTGGGAGACCGTGGCGTCCCTAGAGTTGGGATGTATGGAAGGCTTGGCATTAGGGTCCTGGGCATGGCGGGCATCGGAATGGGAATGGGAAGGGGAGGGAGAGATGGGGGCTGGGAATTTACAAGTAGAATTCACCCGGTGTATTTGACAGCCCTGAGAAACCCATCAGCCTGTGATGTAGAAGCAATTGCAGGCTCCAGGGAGCTGGGGAGAAAGGAGGGAGGCGGAGGTCGTAGCCAGAAGCACAGTGGAGACTCCATGAGGTGGAGCTCAGCTTTCAGCCAAGTGCCTGGCTGGTTTGCCTCGGACTGAAGGGTCCCGAGTTTGATTCCAGTTAAGGGCACAGACCTCAACTGCAGGCTTGATATTCAGGGAAAGTGCAGGAGGCAATCAGTTGATGTGTCTCTCTCACATCGATGTTTTTCTCCCTGTTTCTCCTCCTCCTTTCCACTCTCTCTAAAAGCCAACAACAAAAAATAATCAGCTTGAACAGGCAAGCCCCAGAACCCGCCGGCCACGCCCAGACCACCCTCCCAGACCCCAGGCCTCCACCTTCCTCATCTCTCCACACCTGGCCACGGGGCCCTTGGATGGAGGGTGGCCTGGCTCTGGGGAAGGGCTGGGTAGAGCTTGGAAATAGACTAGAAAAGACCAATTCCCTCAAGCCCGCGACGCCAGATAGTCCATCTGACTGGGGCCCGAGGGGCCCAGTCACCAGGTTACAGGGCCTGGGTCCACTCCCTCTGCCGACAGCTCTTTACTGGACACATGGTTTGTGCGGGCACCAAAGGGATGAGGCTTGGCTGGCAGACCCAGGTGGGACTGGGACGGGGCTGAAAAGCAGCGACCATCCTGCTGGCTGGGCTGTGATGCCCGCCTTCCCCTCCCCCATCCATGCAACCCACACCTGAATAAAAAGAAAGTTGATTGGCTTCAGAAATAAACTCAAAACAAAATGCTCACCCAGCATAGAATGCAAAGCAGCCCTCGCTCTGCGCTGCCAGGAGGGTCGTTTGTCTCCCCCGATGAGGAGGAACCGTTCTTGGGCTTGTGTTGAGATTGTGTTTCTGCCCGCCCCGTCCCTGCTGCCCAGGCCAGAACGGTGCCCACCACCTTCCCTTCCTTACCAGAGGATGGGCTGGAGCCCTGGGCAGAGGACCCAGGCTGGATGGCCAGCTCAGGTCGCAGGACAGTTCGCTGAGTGAAAACATTTGGGGGAGAAACGGCCATTGCCACGTGCATATGAACAGCGAAGGCCTTCAAAGGTCAAACCTAGAAGCACCCAGGTGGCCCTCCCCCAGGCTCTGAGGGACCGAGGGAGGAGCCCTAAGGAAGGAGCGGAGAGCGGAGGGCTCCCGGAGCGGAGTGAGTGAAGGCCTTCGCCCTTCTGCATCTGCACTCCCCACTCGCAGCTTATGTCTGGCTGATGTCCCGGGTAGAGCAGCTCCCAGCTGATAAGAGACCCAGCCCCTCAGACTGCGGAGGGAGCGGATACCACATAAGATGGCGTGGGGGATGAGGCAGAAGCCGCGCGTTTGGAGAATTGAACAGTGACTAGCCGTGGCCTGACAGTTCTAACGTCACTGACAAACACTGCTTCCTCCCAGGCCTCCCACGGGGCCCAGCCACCCCCTTCCTTCACTCGCTGTGGTGTGGGCACGTTCACCCCAACCACCTCCGCTTCCTAACCCGTGAAACGGGCAGGACGACCTCGAAGGTGCAGATGCTGAGGTGCTGACCGACATGCACAGAGGTCGTGGGTGTAAAGATGGAGGGAGAGGGCCTGGCACCAGGAGCATTCAGTCAATGCCTCTTACGATCGGTGCTGGCAGGTGTACATAGAGAAAATAACTAGACTTTGGTTCCTCATGGCCAGAGGGTGCTGATCTGGCAGACCCGTGCCCGGAGCCAGGATGCCTGGGGAGGAGCCCAGAGATGTTGCCCCCCAGAGGCTGCTAGAGGAAACGCTCCAACCTGAGCCCAGAACTCCAGGGATTTTTTGGTCATCAGACCCCATGAGGACTGGGCGTGGTGACAGTCCCAGCAGCAGGAAAAGAGGTTCAGAGAGACGAACCCACCAGGAAAAGCGTCCCTGAACAGTGATGCCCAAGGCCCTGAAGTCTTTGAAGACATGATAACACACACACACACACACACACACACACACGTGCGCACACATGACCCATCGCCCTAGAACTAGAGGAGCCCTCCTTGAAGCGGAAATGAGAAAAACTTGGGAAAATACTGCTTTGCCCAGAGAAGAAGGAATCCATCACCCTCAAATACTCTAGATGAGAAAATATGTTTTTTCTCTCCCCTTACCCTGCCCCCCTCAAACCCTCCGCCCCCCCCCCCCCCCCCCCCCGAGCTAAACAAATGCCCTGAACCAGTGGGTGCTGATCCACAATGGGTTCTGGCAGGAACCAGCTTTCTAAGTTCCTAGCCCTCCCCGCAGCGGGGGAACTGCCCCTCAGCGCCTTCCACCTGCCGCTCTGAGTGCCAGGTTCCTGTTGGCGGCTCGGAAGGCCGCACGTCTGAGCCTGTGCCTTAGCTCCTCGCAGGGACCTGGCCCGGGTGGCGATGTCTCCAGGGCTCAGCCTCAGCCTTGCAAGTCTGATGTCAGAGAATCGCCTATGAGAGTGACCCTTGCCCAGGGCCGGCTGGCATCAGTGACCAGTGCACCTCCCTCTGCTTGGAGGTGGTGAGCCCCATACCCCTCCAGTCCCCGGGGCCGGGCCCCACCTGGCGCCAGGGCAGCCCCTGCCGGAGCCTGGGTGCGATCAGCCAGTGCTCGCAGGGAGGCCAGGAGCCGGGAGATACTCTGCCTGCAGCGGGGTGACCGGGACTGAAGGCCCATCCTGGTGCAGCGGGCGGAAGGATGCCACACACGGGCGGCCTGAGGGAGGAGGTGTGCAGAGGCACAGCAGGGTGAGGGAGCGGCCAGCAACCCCGCTGCCCAGGGAGCCACCCGGGAGCGAACATCCGGGCTGCCCCAGACTTTCCAAACCGGAACCCTGAGGGGCGGGCCTAGACCCCTGTGGTTCTGGATAAGTCACCAGGAGACTCTGTGGGCCACCGGGTCAGGGCTGCGTTTGGAACTCCAGGAGCAGGTTTAACAACCGCTCCCGGGCCTGTCTGCAGCGACTGGCAGCTCAGTCTGCACCTGTCCACCCGTTACCGAGGTCAGAGTGCCATGGGGACCGTGCCTGGGGCACCGGACGGAAAGCAAGTGGGGGCAGGGCGGGGTCCCAGCGGGCCACACGGCCGCAGGGTGACTGCAGCGGCCGGGGAGCGGGTGGCAGGTTCTGTCTCCAGCAGCCCGGGGGAAACAGGGTGCTGTTCGGACTCAGGGATGGTGAGCCCAGGGTGCTAGAGTGAGGCTGCCCCTGGCCTTGGCGACACTCGGGTTTATCTCCTCTCTGCCTGCCCCGGGCACCAATTGTCACCCCAGAACCGCCTCCTCCTGCCGTCCTCCCTGCCCTCGGCCACGCAGTGCCCCGAGCTGGTTGTCTCTGCCTGTGAGTCAGGCGGCCATAAACACCCGCGGGGCCTGGCAGCGGGCAGACACTCCAAAGGTCACAGGGACGGGTGGGCGGGGCAGCTGCCAGCTCACCGCCCTCCCCGGCCCGGGCGGGGCTCCCACCTGCTCCTCCTCTGTCCTCAGTCTCCCTCTGGGAGCTCCTGCCTGAGCCGCAGCCGCTCAGGTCTCTTCACCTCTGCCCCGTGGGGAGCAGAGAGACCTCCGCGAGAGGCACAGGAGGTGGAGGGAGGACGGGGGAGAACCTGGCTCCAGCCGGCTGTGCCCTGGGACAGGCCCGGTCCTCTGGTGCCACGCTGCCTGTTGATTTACAAACCAGAACGGGTGATATGGTTCCAGGAGCACTCGTACCTATTTCAGGTCGTTTGGAAACTAAAAATGCACAAACCCCCCAAGTGGCCCGGTGACCCCTGACCCCAGTCAGCTGTCACCATCCTGCGGCGGGTCTGTGCCCGGGAACCTGCTCTCTGCGGCGGTGGGGAGCGGCTGAGCAGACATGCTCACAGGCTGGTCCAGACCCTCGTGCACACGGCCCACCTCGGAACCGAACCCGTGGGGCTGTTTGAAGGCCCAGTCCTCAGGCAGGCGTTCCTGTCCCATCCTGTCCCACAGCCCCGCCCTCTCCACTCTCCACTCCTTCACACGGGGGGCAGCGTCCGGCCCACAGGCCGCAGAAGGTCTGAGAAATCATTTGGTCTCGCCCTGCCAAGGCCTTAGGGGTGAATTAATCTAATGTTTGACCAAATACAGCAGGCTGGCTTTTAAGTTGATAGTTTTGTGTGGCCCGTGAATGGTGTTATAAATATCCCAAGGGCCCCTGACAGAAAAAGCCAGACCCCCCACCCCTCCCCCACCTTCACACCATTGGAAGCACCATTAGGCTCCAGTGGGCTGCCGCTGGCAGTGACCTCTGACCGGTCTGGGCAGGGACTGTGCACGAACCACTAGGTCAGCGAGGCCGTCTTAGCCCTCAGCTCCGTGCAGACGCGTTGGGGTGGGAAGGAGCCCTGTCTGGTGAGGGGAGGAGGCCTGCACCCACCCACCCTCATCGACGGGAAGAGGGTGCCCAGGATAGACAGCTGCCTGAGGGCCCTGAGAGCCGGCAAAGAGAACGAAAACACTAACTGAAAGCCACCCGCACCCTCCGCTCACTGCAGCACGTTCCCAGCAGCCAAGACGTGGGAGCCGCTCAGGAGACCAGAGAGACCAACGGCTGGAGGGGACGTGGTGCAGACACACAGCCGGGGCAGGAAGGAAGTGCCCTTGGAGGCAGCATGGATGGCCTCGAGGGCATGATACTACATGAAATAAGCCAGAGGGAGACACGTATGCAGGATTTCACTTACATGTGAAACCCAATAAACTCAAACAAACAAACAAACAAAACAAAGACACGCACAGAATCAGAGATTGAGCTGACGGTGGCCAGCGGGAGGGGCGGAGCTGGAGGGAACGGTGAAGGGATTGCAGCGATGACACGGTCATGGCCCATCGGGTGCTGGAGGGGGACGTGGTGAGGTGAGCACATGGGAAGGATACACATTTCGAATCACTATACTGTGTTCTTGGCACTTGTGTGATACCGTATGCCAACTGCACTTACAGAGAGAAATTACATAAAAGCGGCGCAGTAAGGGCTGGGCGTTCCCGGGGGGTGCCCGGGGAGGCGCCGTGAGCACGCCGGCGGCACTGCCCCGCACCTCGCACTGAGCCGGGACCTGGGAAAATCAGTGGGTTGATTGGCATTTGCAGATTCTAAGATCCATGTTGAACAAAACGTTCAACAAACATTCATCGATTCCTAACCCCCATCTCCCCCAAGAGGCCATGCGAGCAGGAGGGCTCCTCCCACAGGCCAGCTCTTCCCACACCAGAGCCTGTGCCCAGGCCCTGGCGGGCGGTTGCCTCTGCCTCAGCGCCAGCTCCCCCTCCCGAGGAGGCAGCCCGGGAGCAGACGGGCTTCCTAAGCGCAGGCAGTCCGGCCGGAGCCCCAGGTCCCCCGCCACGGTGCGGCCTCCAGCAGCCAGTCCCTCAAGCACTTCACTACCCTCCTCGGGGTGCTGCTCCCGGGAGCTCTCGGGAGACAGTTCATCTCCTTAACAAACGGGATTATTTACAAGCTCCGAGGCTGCGGCTGCGGCTGGTCTCTGCCCGCCCCTGAGGGAGGCTAACCGCCCGCCCGGTCCGTCTGGGGCGCTTTGCAGACTTGGCCTCCCCCGGAGCGGCTTCTCTACTTGATATTGAATTTTTTTTTTTTTTGCGCATTGTCCAGTGACCTGTGGGAAGGTCTTCCTCCAGGTGTCTGGGCTGTGAATCCTCCCCACGTGGGAAGCGTGACGCTCCGCACCTTGGTCATTTGCAGAGCGGGTCCCATGTGGGGCATTGGTTGGGCTCGGGGATGTGATGATGAAGCAGACACAGCCCAGCAGAGGAGACAGACACTGTAACATCGCTGGGGCCTGCTCCTGTGCTGGGGGAAGGGTGTGCGCTAAATGCATCGCCATTCCACCCTCACAGCAACCTGGGGTTAGATAGCACTGTCCTCATTGTAAATGTGGTTATTTATTGACTTTAAGAGAGAGAGAGAGAGAGAGAGAGAGAGAGAGAGCAAGAGAGAGGGCGAGAGAGAGAGAGAGAGAGAGAGAGAGAGAGAGAGAGCAAGAGAGAGGGCGAGAGAGAAAGAGAGAGAGAGAGAGAGAGAGAGAGAGGGTTTTTTTTTTCCTTCTGCATATTAACACATTCATTGGCTGCTTCTCAAATGCATCCTGACTGGGGACTGAACCCCCACCCAGCCTTGGCGTAGGGGATGACTCTAACTCACTGAGCCACCTGGCCAGGGCTCCTCGTCTTGCAGCTGAGGAAGCGGGGGCACAGAGAGGTTCGTTAAGCTGCCCTGGTTGCACAGCCGGGAGTCAGGGTGAGGTGGCACCCGGGCAGTGGGCTCCAGTGTCTGTGCTCTGGGCCGCCCTCCGGGGCGCGATGGCCCTTCATGACCGCGGTCTCAGAGCAGGTGCTCGGGTGGCGCTGGCACCGCCCTGCCTGGGAGAGAGTGGGCCTTTCCTCTCCGCCCAGGGGCACAGCCCTCCTGGCCGGTGCGGCACCTGCTCTCCCCCCACCCCACCTCCAGGGGAAGGTTAGCTGTCATTGCACTGTCAGTGCTCAGCCCCTGGGCGAATCAGCATCGGTGGACGGTGGGTGTGTGGGGATTCACCCTTGAGGAGCAAGGGGAGTGAGGAGGAGGGAGGGACATTCTGGAGCCTGAAGGACAGCTCTAGGGAGGCAAGTACTATAGGGGGCGGGGGGGGGGCAATCCGGGGCAACTGGAAGGAAGGTGCCCAACAGACCTGTGCAAGGAAGTGGAAAGAAGGTGATTGGAAGGCTCTAGAAATTTCTAGAATCCCTCCACTTTTAGTTTTCTGATCACAGGCTAGATGTCCCACCTGGGGCCCCTCCCCTGAGCAGGGATATGAAGATCCCACAGAAGTGGAATCCGGGGCCCCAAGGCTACCACCTGAGCCCAGAGGTGGAGGACCAGCTTGTTCCAGGAGGTGGGAGGGGACGGGGAGGGGGCAGGGAGGGGACGGGGACCGCCATCGGAGCCCCAGCCCGTGCTGCCCGTGGCGTGAGCACCAGGGTCTGGCTGTGTGGGGCGCTGTGGGCGTGCCGTCCCTAACCCCGGGTCATTCCCAGTGGGTTATGGAATGTGGGAGGTGCCTGGGGCCACGACCCACCACAGAGGCCTCCGGGGTTACACACAGCGTCTGCCTCCGCTCTGGCTCCGCTCAGGTGCTCCCCTTTGCGTTACGAGCTCCTCCCCGTCCATTCACCTCCGCCTCTCCCCTCACAGTCCACCAGCTCCAGTCACACGCCCCTAACCCTCAGCCATCCCCTTTCTTCCCGGCGCTCGCCCGGTGCTGCTGGTTCTCGCGCGTGAGTCTCCTTTGTAACAAGGAGATCCTCGGGAGCAGACCCGGGACGGGACGGCGGGCGAGGCCAGCAGGCTGAGCACACGCAGGAGAGCGAGCGGGGTGGGCCAGGCTGCGGGCAGCCCCCTCTCCACGCGAAGTGCCCGTCCCATCAGGCTCTCGCCACGCGGCCCCCTCCCAGGGGGCCACAGAGGCCGTGCGTTAGTGAATGAGGGAACCCTGTTTAGACTCATTCACTCTGTGCCATGTACTTCCTCCCGTGGCCCGGAGGAGCTTGTGTCACACGTGGAGCCACAGATGTGGGAATGGACGCTCTGGCCCGGGAGGGGAGGATGGCAGGAGGGGAGGGAAGGATGGCAGGAGGGGAGGGAAGGATGGCAGGAGGGGAGGGGAGGATGATAGGAGGGGAGGGGAGGAGAGGATGGCAGGAGGGGAGGGGAGGGGAGGATGGCAGGAGGGGAGGGGAGGATGGCAGGAGGGGAGGGGAGGATGGCAGGAGGGGAGGGGAGGATGGCAGGAGGGGAGGGAGAGGATGCCAGCAGGGGAGACGGAGGCTGGCGGAAGGCTGGCCCGAAGCTGCAGGGAGTGGCCGCCACGGTGTGGGGCTGTGGCCGTGGGGGGGGGGGGGGGCGGGGAGGAGGACGCTCTGGGCATGCCGGTGCCCTCACCCTGCCCCGCCCCTGCCCTCCAGTCTGGGTGGCCGTCACCGCCATCTCCGTGGAGACGCCGGGGGAAGTGCTGCGGGCCGCCCGGGGCCGGAGCGTCACCCTCCCGTGCACCTACCGCACCTCCGTGGCCGAGCGGAAGGGCTTCATCCAGTGGGACAAGCTGCTGTGGAGCCACTCGGTGAGGCCACGGGCGGCACAGGGGCGGGGGGGGGCAGTGGGACGCGGCACAGGGGCTTCCGTGGAGGCAGAACCGATCCCAGGCAGTTCCGGGTTCCTTTTGGCTAAATAGGTGAATGAATAGACTCCAAAGTCAGAACCAAGCAGACGCAGTGGCCGGGAGGGAGCCCAGGGCACTGCCCACTGGGTGCCAGCCTGCAGCAGGCGCTCAGGAACGCCAGCTGATGGGGCGGGACAGACCGGGGGCTGGCCTGCGGGGTGAGAGGCCGGGGTCACAGGAGCGAGGAGCCAGGATCCAGGAACCTCGTGTGTCCACACGTGCTCTGGGGGAGGTGGGGGGGTGCTGCCAGCTGGTGCCACACAGGAGCGATGCTTGCTCCAAGGCTTGGCATCGGCTCTGGGCCGGTGGGGCCCAGGGTCGGCAGTGCCTGGAGGAAGGGCCGCGCCAAAGCTTTAGGTGAAGGCCAGGCGCATCTCTCCTTCCTCCAGGAAAGGGTGCTCGCCTGGACCTTCTCCACCAAAGAATATGACTACGGCAGCCTTTATAAGAACCGTGCCAACCTGTCGGGCAACGTCGAGGAGTCCGACGCCTCCATCACCATCAGCCAGCTGACCATGGACGACAACGGCACCTACGAGTGCTCCGTCTTGCTGCTCAATGACCTGGGCGGCACCTCCAAGGCCCGCGTCCGCCTCCTGGTCCTGGGTGAGTGCCCCTTCCTGTGGCCGGCATGGGTGCGGCGGGGTGCCTGGACGGGTGCCTGGAGGGGGTGCCTGGACGGGTGCCTGGAGGGGGAGCTGGTGGGAGTGCCTGGAGGGGGAGCCTGGAGGGGGTCCCTGGATGGGTGCCTGGAGGGGGGCCTGGAGGGGTGCCTGGAGGGGTGCCTGGAGGGGTGCCAGGAGAGGGTGCCTGGAGGGGGTGCCTGGAGGGGTGCCTGGACGGGTGCCTGGAGGGGGTGCCTGGACGGGTGCCTGGAGGGGGAGCCTGGAGGGGGAGCCTGGAGGGGGTGCCGGTGGGGGTGCCTGGAGGGGGAGCCTGGAGGGGGAGCCTGGACGGGTGCCTGGAGGGGGAGCCTGGAGGGGGTGCCTGGACGGGTGCCCGGAGGGGGAGCCTAGAGGGGATGCCTGGAGGGTGTGCCCATGTTTTGCTTAAAAAAGAAAAAAAAGAGTGAGAGATCATACTGTACTGTATGTGAAGAAATTCAGCAGTTTCTCTTAAAAAACAAAGTTTTCTTTCCATATGGCTCTCCCGCGGGGGTGATTTACCCACAGGGCATTAGTTATGTGGCACCACCCTCCCAGGCTGGACGAGGCACAAGGCCTCCTTGCCTGGGGCACCTGCCCCCTGCCCGTGGGATCACCGCCTCCTGCCTCTGGCGCCCCCTGGTGTCCTCGGTGGGAGGCGCAGGCCCTGCGGTGGCCTCCAGCCCATGGCGTCCCCTGCTCCTTCCCAGTACTCTGCTCGCAACAAGTATTCAGGTGGCATCGGGGTCCTGTCAGAGCGGGCACCGAACAGCTGAGGCCTGAGGTCTCCGGGGTCCCCACATGGGGGTGTAGGGCTGCTGGGATAGAGGGGACGGGGGACTGGCCATCCGGACGCATCACAGTGTGCGCTGCTCTGCCATGGGACAGGCTGCTGTGGACTGAGCTCAGTGCTACCTCTCAGCTCTGGGCTGTGAGCAGACAGGACGGCACACGTGTGGGCGCGGGTGCGAGGGAGGTGGCTGTCCCCGAGCCCCCCCTGCTCACGCCCTCTCTCGGCCCCTCCCCACACAGTGCCGCCCTCCAAACCCGACTGCAGCGTCCTGGGCGAGACGGTGATCGGGAGCGACATCCAGCTGACCTGCCAGTCCAGGGAGGGCTCCCCGGCCCCGCAGTACCAGTGGCGGAGCTTCGACCTGCAGAACCAGGAGCGGAGGGGCCCGCCAGGTACCACCCGCCGCAGCCGATCGATCGGCAGGCTGCAGGGCCCCAAGGCGGTCCCGCCTGCAGGGACACCGCCGTCCCGCCCGCGGGGCACCGCCGTCCCGCCTGCGGGGACACCGCCGCCCGCCCGCAGTGGGCACAGCCGTCCGCCCGCGGGGGCATAGCTGTCCCGCCCGCGGGGCACCACCATCCGCCCGCGGGGCACCGCCGTCCGCCCGCGGGGCACCGCCGTCCCGCCTGCGGGGACACCGCCGCCCGCTCGCAGTGGGCACCACCATCCGCCCGCGGGGCACCGCCGTCCCGCCTGCAGGGCACCACCATCCGCCCGAGGGGCACCGCCGTCCGCCCACAGTGGGCACCGCCGTCCGGGCTGTCTCCGTGGGCACTGGGCTCTCAGAGCCACGCCTCCCGCCGGGGTGTGGCTTTGTGAGACGCCCGAGGTGGGAGCGCGGACGGCCTCCTCGGCCCAGGGCACAGCGGTCACTGGCGAGAGCCCTGCCGCAGCTCTGAGTGCGATTCTGTCCTCAGTCCGGCATGCGGCCCCGCATCCGGCACTGCGGCCCCGCTCAGGGTGGGGGCTCCCTGTCCCCATCCCCCCGAGGCCGGTCCCTCTCAGACTCCCCTGCATCCCACTTCCACAAGCGCACCCCCTGTGGCTGCACACGGCAGCCAGGCCCGGGCTGAGGGCCGTTCCATTGCCAGGAGACCATGTTCGTCCTGGGTGGCTTGGTGTCTGACCTTTTGGTCAGGAAACAAGCTGGGAGGGAAAATCCAAACACTAGATAAATGTTCTCCGTCCTTACTACGGGGCCCATGGTGTGGGAGCACCCGCTGGGGGAGGGCCCATGGTGTGGGAGCACCCGCTGGGCCCAGAGCCTATGGTGTGGGAGCACCCGCTGGGGGAGGGCCCAGTGCCCATGATGTGGGAGCCCCCGCTGGGCCCAGGGCCCATGGTGTGGGGCACCCGCTGGGAGTCAGGGCCCATGGTGTGGGAGCACCCGCTGGGCCCAGGGCCCATGATGTGGGAGCCCCCGCTGGGCCCAGGGCCCATGGTGTGGGGCACCCGCTGGGAGTCAGGGCCCATGGTGTGGGAGCACCCGCTGGGCCCAGGGCCCATGGTGTGGGAGCACCCGCTGGGAGTCGGGGCCCATGGTGTGGGGCACCCGCTGGGAGTCGGGGCCCATGGTGTGGGGCACCCGCTGGGAGTCAGGGCCCATGGTGTGGGAGCACCCGCTGGGAGTCGGGGCCCATGGTGTGGGAGCACCCGCTGGGAGTCAGGGCCCATGGTGTGGGAGCACCCGCTGGGCCCAGGGCCCATGGTGTGGGAGCACCCGCTGGGCCCAGGGCCCATGGTGTGGGGCACCCGCTGGGCCCAGTGCCCATGGTGTGGGAGCACCCGCTGGGAGTCGGGGCCCATGGTGTGGTAGCACCCGCTGGGGGCCAGGGCCCATGGTGTGGGAGCACCCGCTGGGCCCAGGGCCCATGGTGTGGGGCACCCGCTGGGAGTCAGGGCCCATGGTGTGGGAGCACCCGCTGGGCCCAGGGCCCATGGTGTGGGAGCACCCGCTGGGCCCAGGGCCCATGGTGTGGGAGCACCCGCTGGGAGTCGGGGCCCATGGTGTGGGGCACCCGCTGGGCCCAGGGCCCATGGTGTGGGAGCACCCGCTGGGAGTCAGGGCCCATGGTGTGGGAGCACCCGCTGGGAGTCAGGGCCCATGGTGTGGGAGCACCCGCTGGGCCCAGGGCCCATGGTGTGGGAGCACCCGCTGGGAGTCGGGGCCCATGGTGTGGGAGCACCCGCTGGGAGTCGGGGCCCATGGTGTGGGAGCACCCGCTGGGCCCAGGGCCCATGGTGTGGGAGCACCCGCTGGGAGTCAGGGCCCATGGTGTGGGAGCACCCGCTGGGAGTCAGGGCCCATGGTGTGGGAGCACCCGCTGGGAGTCGGGGCCCATGGTGTGGGGCACCCGCTGGGAGTCAGGGCCCATGGTGTGGGAGCACCCGCTGGGCCCAGGGCCCATGGTGTGGGAGCACCCGCTGGGAGTCGGGGCCCATGGTGTGGGAGCACCCGCTGGGGGAGGGCCCAGTGCTCATGGTGGGGGGCACCCGCTGGGGGCCAGGGCCCATGGTGTGGGGCACCCGCTGGGAGTCAGGGCCCATGGTGTGGGGCACCCGCTGGGCCCAGGGCCCATGGTGGGGGGCACCCGCTGGGGGCCAGGGCCCATGGTGTGGGGCACCCGCTGGGGGAGGGCCCAGTGCCCATGGTGTGGGAGCACCCGCTGGGCCCAGTGCCCATGATGTGGGAGCACCCGCTGGGCCCAGGGCCCATGGTGTGGGAGCACCCGCTGGGAGTCGGGGCCCATGGTGTGGGAGCACCCGCTGGGGGAGGGCCCAGTGCCCATGGTGTGGGAGCACCCGCTGGGGGAGGGCCCAGTGCCCATGGTGTGGGAGCACCCGCTGGGGGAGGGCCCAGTGCCCATGGTGTGGGAGCACCCGCTGGGCCCAGGGCCCATGGCGTGGGAGCACCCACTGGGGCCCGGGCCCACGCTGCCGGGCCAGCTGCTCTCAGAGCTCTCACAGATAAGACAAGGCCAGAGGTGCCCTTGGTCTTGGGGGTCTTCCAGCTCAGTGGGCTGGGAACAAGGGAGGGAGAAGTACCGCGTGGGTAGGCATATTCATGGGGTAGGCATGTGTGTGGGTAGGCATGTGCATGGGTAGGCATATTCATGGGGTAGGCATGTGCATGGGTAGGCATGTGCGTGGGCAGGCATGTACGTGGGCAGGTATGTGCGTGGGTAGGCATGTGCATGGGCAAGCATGTGCGTGGGTAGGCATATTCATGGGGTAGGCATGTGCATGAGTAGGCATGTGCACGGGCAGGCATATGCGTGGGTAGGCATATTCATGGGGTAGGCGTGTGTGTGGGTAGGCATATTCATGGGGTAGGCATGTGCATGGGTAGGCATGTGAGTGGGCAGGCATGTACGTGGGCAGGTATGTGCGTGGGTAGGCAGGTGCATGGGCAAGCGTGTGCGTGGGTAGGCATATTCATGGGGTAGGCATGTGCATGAGTAGGCATGTGCACGGGCAGGCATATGCGTGGGTAGGCATATTCATGGGGTAGGCGTGTGCGTGGGTAGGCATATTCATGGGCAGGCATGTGCGTGGGCAGGCATGTGCACGGGCAGGCTTGTGTGTAGGCAGGCACGTGCATGGGTAGGCATGTGCATGGGCAGGCATGTGCATGAACAAGCATGTGCATGGGTAGGCATGTGCGTGGGCAGACGTGCGTGGGCAGGCATGTGCGTGGGTAGGCATGTGCGTGGGCAGGTATATTTATGGGGTAGGCATGTGCGTGGGTAGGCATGTGCTTGGGCAGGCATGTGCATGTGCAGGCATGTGCGTGGGCAGGCTTGTGCGTGAGCAGGCTTGTGCGTGAGCAGGCATGTGCGTGGGTAGGCATGTGCGTGGGCAGGCATGTGCGTGGGTAGGCATATTCATGGGGTAGGCATGTGTGTGGGTAGGCATGTGCGTGGGCAGGCATGTGCGTGGGCAGGCATGTGCGTGGGTAGGCATGTGCATGGGCAGGCATGTGTGTGGGTAGGCATGTGCATGGGTAGGCATATGGCTGAGCAGGCATGTTCATGGGCAGGCATGTGCATGGGTAGGCATGTGCATGGGCAGGCATGTGCGTGGGTAGGCATGTGCATGGGTAGGCATATTCATGGGGTAGGCATGTGTGTGGGTAGGCATGTGCGTGGGCAGGCATGTGCGTGGGCAGGCATGTGCGTGGGTAGGCATGTGCATGGGCAGGCATGTGCGTGGGTAGGCATGTGCATGGGCAGGCATGTGCGTGGGTAGGCATGTGCATGGGCAGGCATGTGCATGGGTAGGCATGTGCATGGGCAGGCATGTGTGTGGGTAGGCATGTGCGTGGGTAGGCATTGCGTGGGTAGGCATGTGCATGGGCAGGCATTGCGTGGGCAGACATGTGCGTGGGTAGGTGTGCGGGGTAGGTGCGCGGGGTAGGCACGCGCAGGCTAGGCGGTGTCTGGAGAAGTCTGATGCCGTGGCCACGGCTCGGTCTGCCCGTCCGGCAGCACAGTGTGGCAGCGGGTCTGGTGCTGCGAGTCTTACAGCCAGAGGCGCTGTGACGGGCACAGAGGGTCACAGCGGGTCCCAAGGAGGGCACTGGAGCGGGCAGCACAGCGCATGGCTGACAGCACGGACGCTGTGTGACCTGGGCACGTGGCTCAGCCTCTCTGTGCTGCAGTGTCTGCAGACGCCTGGGCGTTCTGCTTGTTTACCACACAGGCTGCTGTGGAGGGTGCATAAGAGCATGGTGGCATGGGGTGCCAGCAGATAGTGGGCACCTGGCGCGGCTGTGGGCCGGGCACCGGAGGTGAGAAGAAGCGAGGAGCCGGGAGCGTGCTCGGGAGGGAGCCCGTGCCCCGGGAGGGGAGCTGCCTGGGCCTGGAGGCCACCTGCTCCTGCTGAGGCGCCCCAGGCAGGCACCCCATTCACAGTAATACCTCCACCAGCAGAAAAGATCCCGGTGTCAGAAGCTGACGCTCCCTCACTCTTCAGGGTCCCCAGAGGGAGACCCCGAGGACACGGGCAGGTTCAGGAAATGCACTTGCCTGCGTTTGACAAGCTCATTCTGGTCAGACTCGGGACCTGGGGGGCAGGAGAGACAAGATCTTGGGGCCAGCGGGAATGCCCACAGGAGCCCCTGGTGCCGGGGGCGGTGGGTGGCGTTCCTGCCTCAGAGCCGCGGAGAGATGTCCCGGCTGCTTCCTTCAGGGCCAGATGAGACCTGTTTCTCACGGAAGCATCTCGGTCCACAGGGGACAACGGAGCAGGGCTCCCCCTCCCGGAAGACAGAGGTCCCCCATTAGAGATGCTTCCTTTGGCTGAGCATGGGGGGGGAGGGGGAAGGGGGGCGCGAAGCCAGCAAGGAGAGCAGGGAATCTGGGGTCAGCACACAGAGACGGGGTCTCCATGTGCTGTAAGCCCCCCACGGCCTTGTTCTATCCCCCTCCCCCTGAAGGCTGTGAGGAGGATAAGGAGATCCCGGGTGGGATACCTCTGAGCATCCTCTGTAAACCAGAAAGGAGGAGGAATTTGATATGTGGGAGAGAGGGAGGGAGGGAGGGAGGATGGGAGGGAGGGAGGGAGGGAGGGAGGGAGGGAAGATGGGAGGGAGGGAGGGAGGATGGGAGGGAGGGAGGGAGGTACTGGGGGCTGGAGCATACAGGGAGGAGGTTCGGAGGAGTGGGCATGGACCCTGCTCCCAGCAGCCAGGGAAGATCACGGAGGACAGAGGCAGCAGCCAAGTTGAGGACGAGGAACATTAGCTCTTGTCAACTGACTTCAGTGCCTGGAGACCAGGCTGCTTAGCGAGCAGAGGGAAGGTGGGAGCTGCTGTCCTGTGCGTTTTTCATCTTGACCACAAGGTGTCACCATTGCAGCAGAAACAGCTTCAGACCCATCAGATCCTTTCCAAAAAGGGGGTTTGGGGGCCCCCCCAGGATCAGAGCAAGTCTTGGGCCTGGGTGTGCCCCGGGCAGCCCTCCATGCTGCTGTTGGCTTGAGGAGCCGGGGGGGGGGGTGGTGCTGACCGGTAGGAAGCCCTGGTCCGTGCTAAACAAGCCATCCCTCCATCCTCGGGCCATGCACCTGAGCGCGGTCCCAGCTCAGTGGCTCCGGCAGGGAACCTGACTCACCTGGAAGTGTGCCCAGGTCTGAGAGCATTTCCCAAAGTGGGTTCCTCAAGTCGCCTCTTTTTAAAAATCCCATCATTTAGGAAATGAGACCATTACACCCTCACCGCCCAGTGCTCATTAGCATATCAGAAGCTCTGAGAGTTCTGTCATTAAAAAATGTAATTAATTTAACCCTTAACGCTGATTTCCAAACCCATTCTGGTCTTGGACTCTTCAGTTTATGAGCATCGCTTGTGACCACAATCCAGAGAGCACCCCGGGCTGTGGGAGCAGGCGGCTGTCATTAGCTCTGCTCCTCACGGAGCCCTGGACCCGGCGGCGGCGGCCACATTCCCTCTACAAACCCCGCAGCACCCACGGAGCCGCTCCCTGCCGCCGCTGCGCCGTGCTGTCTCCCTGGGGAATGGGCCTCGCGCCTTGCTCGGGCCTAACCAGGATGCGTTATCGCCTCCCACTTCTTAGTTTGTGACCTTGGGCGGGCGCGTCCCTGGTCTCTGCGTCGGAGGGTGTGGGAAGCAGCAGGGACCTCATGCCCAGGAAGCCCATTGAGTGGTTCTTCCAGACCGGGGTGCCACCTTGCGAGCGCGGAGTGGGCGGGAGGCTGGCTGCAGGGGTGGCAGGACCAGGCCCAGCCCCAGCCCGGGGACCACGCTGAGGAGCCTGGACTGGTCGCTGGAGACCACGCGGCCCTGGAGGTCTGACGGGCGGTGGCCGGTGCTGTTTGCATGTCGGCTGTCCCCTCACAGCGGAGCAGCAGGGCTGCAGGGGGCTTGTTCCGCACGGAGAGAGAACAAAGGCCTCCTAACCCTCCTCTCAAAACTGCGTCACAGCAGAGCACCTCAGAGCACAGGACATGCAAATACGTGGACACCCCTCTCCTTCCACGGGCACACCCCACAGGCCGGGGACTCAGGAAGGTCGCCGTGAGGACGTTCGGGCCATCCCCTGTGTTCAGGAGGGCTGGGTAGCACTCCCCCTGACTCAGAGCTGCGGCTCCCACAGTTAAATGGCCATGAACGCAGTGGACAGTGAAGAGCGAGACAGACAGCTGCCTCCCCACCCTCCTCCCAGATACACACACTCACTTATACACACCCACATATACACACTTCATACACATACTCACATATACACTCATATATACACACATATACACACATACATTCTCATATATACACTCTCACATATACACTCATATATACACATTCTCATATACACACTCACATATACACACTCACATATACACACTCTCATATACACACTCTCATATACACACTCACATATACACATTTACATATACACACTCACATATACACTCTCACATATACACACTCACATATACACACATACATTCTCACATATACACTCACATATACACTCACATATACACTCTCACATATACACACATACATTCTCACATACACTCACATATACACACATACATTCTCACATATACACTCTCACACATACACTCTCACACATACATTCTCACATATACACTCTCACATATACACACTCGCATATACACACATATACACACATACATTCTCACATATACACTCACATATACACTCTCACATATACACACATACATTCTCACATACACTCTCACATATACACTCACTTATACACTCACATATACACTCTCACATATACACTCTCACATATACACACTCACATATACACACATACCACTCACAGTTACATATACACACACACTCATATACACGCACACCATACACATTCACATATACACTCATACACACACATTCACACACCACTCACACCCACGTATACACATACACACTAACACATCACATACACACCACACACATATATACACACACACCACATACACTCACATATTCACACTCACATATACACGCATATACACACACTCACAGGTGCTCACACACTGATTTCTAAAGCTTCCTCCACATGAGCCCCAGCTACGGGTTTTCATTTCTGAAGGTCACGGAGGGGTCATAGTGACTCCTAATCAGAATGTCATGTGCGTGTGTGTGGGGTGTGCCCGGAGCCCCCGCCAGTCGGGCCTTCTGTTGTGGGCCTGAGGGACGGGGCCTCGTCTGAGGCCCACAGTGTCCCAGGAGGCAGGCACCAGCACCATCTCTGGTCAGAAATAAAGACACCGGGGCGCAGTGACGCTGTTAGGTGCCCAAAGTCACACGGGGAGTAAGCAGCTCGCTTCCCGCAGCCTTGACTGCACAGGGAGGCCAGCCCCGTCCTGCAGCCCGGCCCGTCCCGTAGCCCAGACCGCTCAGGGAGCCCACCCACCCCGCAGCCCTGCAGCCCGGACTGCTCAGGGAGCCCACCCGTCCTGCAGCCCGGCCCTCTCAGGGAGCCCACCCATCCCGCAGCCCGGCCCTCTCAGGGAGCCCACCCACCCCGCAGCCCTGCAGCCCGGACTGCACAGGGAGCCCACCCGTCCCGCAGCCCTGACCGCACAGGGAGCCCACCCATCCCGCAGCCCGGCCCCATCCCACAGCCCGGACCGCTCAGGGAGCCCACCTGTCCCGCATGGGGGGCATCTCCAGGCCCCAGGGAGCCCGGCCCAGCAGCTGCGCCCGCTTTCCCCTCTGCCTGGTGCCCTCTCACCCCGGTCTTCCCTCCCAGGCGCGGGGCACGCCCTGACTCTGAGGAACATCTCCACGGACATGTCCGGCTACTATGTCTGCACGTCCAGCAACGAGGTGGGGACCGAGTCCTGCAACATCACCCTGATCGTCAGGCCTCGTAAGAGCCACACGTGGGGGCAGGCAGGGAGGAGAGGTGCCGCTGGCGGGGTGGCCCGGTGGCTGGGTGGCTGGGTGGGCGGGTGGCCGGGTGGGCAGGTGGCCGGGTAGCCGGGTGGCCGGGTGGGAGGGTGGCTGGGTGGGCAGGGTGGCCCGGTGGCCGGGTGGCTGGGTGGGCAGGTAGGCGGGTGGCCCGGTGGCCGGGTGGCTGGATGGGCGGGTGGCTGGGTGGCCGGGATAGCTCAGTGGTCGGGTGGCTGGGTGGGCGGGTGGCCGGGGGGGCTGACCAGCAAGACACCCTGTGAACCTACTGCCTGGAGGCCAGTCCAGCTCCCTTGCTTCTTTGGAGGCAGCGCCCAGGGCAATGGTGCCAGAGCATCCTTCGGGGCGGGCCCCTCCCAGCTCAGGGGAAGCCGGACGGCTGGCTGACCGGAGGACGCTCCGGCCGGGGAGCACGGGGAGGCAGGGCCACAGGGCAGGGCCACCGGCCTTGTCCTGTCCACGGCTCCGGGCAGAAGAGCATGCTCCCTCCAGGCCAGGCCCTCTGCTGCCCCGGGCCGCTCCCTGGGCTGGAGGTCGGGGTGGGGAGCTGGGATGGGGGGAGGGAGGGTCCGGGGTCCTTGCCGGCGCGGGCAGTGCAGCTCCCTGCCCCCGCAGCCTCCATGAACGTGGCGCTGTACGCGGGCATCGCGGGCGGCGTGGTGGCGGTCCTCATCGTCATCGGCGTCCTGGTCTATTGCTGCTGCTGCCGGGACCGGGGCGAGGACCCGGAGCCCAGGCCGTGAGTGTGGGCCGGGGGCACGGGTCTGGGCAGGGCGGGCGGGTGCGCCCCAGCTCTTTGTCCCGGCGGGTCCCTCAGCTCGTCCTCTCTGAACGCCCTGCAGCCAGGGCGCTGTGTGGGCTGTGGGCCCTGAGGGCAGCGCCGGCTCTGGGCACACCTTCCCTCTGTCCTCACGGCCGCAGGAATCGGTCCATCTACCGGGAGCCTCCGGAGCAGCTGCGGGAACTTCCCAGAGGGCGGGAAGAGGAGGACGACTCCAGGCCCATCCCCTGACCGTGCTGAGCACGCGGACCGGCCTGCTGCAGAGCGAGCAGGGGAGCGGCCCTCCCGGCCCCCCTGCTCCGCCGCTCTCCCGACCCCCACCCCAGCACTGAAGGGGCCTCCTCCCATGTCGGCCAGAGGCCCTGGCTGAGCCTGGTGAGCCGATGCCACCTGCCAAGTGACCCTCCCAACGCCCGCCCCCGGCTCCCGGCTCCCGGGACCAGGCCGCAGCCCCGCCTTCCTCGGGCCGGAGGACAGCAGGGCTGCCGCTCACGGGCGCGCGGCACCGGGCAGCGCCGGGCGGAGGTTTGCAGGCCGCACGTTTTAGTTGAATGAATGAGCAAACGGGTGCACACACCAAGGACCCTATTATCTACCCAGCTCCCGTGCACACCCGTGTTCCAGGCCCCCATTATTTACCCAGCTCCTGTGTACACCTGTGTTCCAGGCCCCCATTATCTACCCAGCTCCCGTGCACACCCGTGTTCCAGGCCCCCATTATCTACCCAGCTCCCGTGCACACCCGTGTTCCAGGCCCCCATTATTTACCCAGCTCCTGTGTACACCTGTGTTCCAGGCCCCCATTATTTACCCAGCTCCCGTGCACACCCGTGTTCCAGGCCCCCATTATCTACCCAGCTCCCGTGCACACCCGTGTTCCAGGCCCCCATTATTTACCCAGCTTACATGTACACCCGTGTCCAGGACCTCCATTATTTACCCAGCTCCCGTGTACACCCGTGTTCCAGGCCCCCATTATTTACCCAGCTCCCGTGCACACCCGTGTTCCAGGCCCCCATTATTTACCCAGCTCCCGTGCACACCCGTGTTCCAGGCCCCCATTATTTACCCAGCTCCCGTGCACACCCGTGTTCCAGGCCCCCATTATTTGCCCAGCTTACATGTACACCCGTGTCCAGGCCCTCCATTATTTACCCAGCTCCCGTGCACACCCGTGTTCCAGGCCCCCATTATCTACCCAGCTCCCGTGCACACCCGTGTTCCAGGCCCCCATTATTTACCCAGCTTACATGTACACCCGTGTCCAGGCCCCCCATTATTTACCCAGCTCCCATGCACACCCGTGTTCCAGGCCCCCATTATTTACCCAGCTTACATGCACACCCGTGTTCCAGGCCCCCCATTATTTACCCAGCTTACATGTACACCCGTGTTCCAGGCCCCCCATTATTTACCCAACTCCCGTGCACACCCGTGTTCCAGGCCCCCCATTATTTATCCAGCTTATATGTACACCCGTGTTCCAGGCCCCCCATTATTTACCCAGCTCCCGTGCACACCCATGTTCCAGGCCCCCCATTATTTACCCAGCTTACATGCACACCCGTGTTCCAGGCCCCCCATTATTTACCCAGCTTACATGTACACCCGTGTTCCAGGCCCCCCATTATTTACCCAGCTCCCGTGCACACCCATGTTCCAGGCCCCCCATTATTTACCCAGCTTACATGCACACCCGTGTTCCAGGCCCCCCATTATTTACCCAGCTTACATGTACACCCGTGTTCCAGGCCCCCCATTATTTACCCAGCTTACCTGTACACTCAGCCTCATGGCCCTGGCCTGGCCGCGAGCACCCCTTCCAGCCTCGTCACCCGCAGGTTCCCTGCACCTCATACACTCCCGCCAGGGCCACCTCAGCCCCTACCCCGCCTGCACGGCTGCCCACGCGGTGCCCATCTCTGCTGTCTGCCTCCCAGCTGTGCCCAGGCTGCTGGCACCCTGATTCCATAGCCTGCCCGGGTGTGCCAGCACCCCGGCCCGCGCACAGGTCTCTCCCGTGAGGTCTGTGCTCCCAGCAGGGCTGGCTCCGCCCTGCCTGCCAGCCGGCCCTTCCCCTCCGCTCTCCCTGACGGGCTGCGGACACAGAGGACGCGCACCCAGCCCTGCTGGTTCGGTGAACTACGATGCGCTGATGTGAGCGAGCACACGGGCGGGGCCTGTTTGCAGAGCAGGATTCACACGTCACAGCGACGCCTCTGAAGGCCCGGGTCACTGACCTGTCCACCCTGCTGTCCCCCCCACCCCCCGCCCTGCCCGGCGGTTCCCAGCCCGGGTGGCGCTGCTGGGCCGCTGGGCCCTCCCGCCGCCTCGCCCACGCCCGCCGGTGGCTGTCCTTCCCGGGGCCGGCAGCCTGGCCGCCCGGCCTCGTGGCGGTGGCCAGTCTCACCCTAATGCTGTTTACTCTGAAATAAACATGGTCTTTTCTGGTCGATCAGAAAAGCAACTTTGAAAATCTGCTGTCCATTTGTGATTTAAAAATAGAGCTTTCATATATTTTAAGTTCTTTGCTTCATTCAAAATGCTGTAACAATGATCAAGTCAGTAGATTTTGGTGTGAGTTTTGGAGTGGGTTTTGATGTGGGTTTTGGTGTGGGTTTTGGTGTGGGATTTTGGTGTGAATTTTGGTGTGGGTTTGGTTCTCACGAGGGTAGAGCTTGTGTCTGTGCATCTGTGCCCACCTCCTGCAGCCTCTTCTGTTTCCTTGGTGACGGCCAGGCAAGAGGAGCAGAGGGCCAGGTTCTGGGGCCCCATTGTGTTGCCCCGATAGGACCACAGGTGGGGAGCAGTAGGCCTGGGAGTCGGAGCGCGGGAGGCGGAAGCCGCCTCGTGCCTCAGCCGTCGGAGAGGAGCAGAGCAGAGAGCCTCTTCCCCGGTGCTCACTCCAGGCAGCTGCTGCCTCACGTTCAAGGTCCTCTCCTCCATGCCCTTCCCGTGGTCCCTGTGCCCTCCATCCCAGCACCTGTCACAGATACTCACTACCACAGGCGGTTTCAGCCTTGGATCTTTTTTTTTTTTTTTTTAAATATATTTTATTGATTTTTTACAGAGAGGAAGGGAAAGAGAGAGAGCTAGAAACATCGATGAGAGAGAAACATCGACCAGCTGCCTCTTGCACACCCCCTACCGGGGATGTGCCCGCAACCGATGTACATGCCCTTGACCGGAATCGAACCCGGGACCTTTCAGTCCGCAGACCGACGCTCTACCACTGAGCCAAACCGGTTTCGGCTCAGCTTTGGATCTTATCTGTGGCCTGGCACCTGGTGACACTTGGTGGATGTTTGTTGAATGAATAATGCTTGGCGCCACTTTTGCAGATGCCCACGGCCCTCTCCCAGTCCTCCTGATGTTCTGAGGTGCCCTCTGCCCGCGTGGGGCCAGGCTCTGCCAGTGTGTGCTGGGTCCGGCCGGCAGGTGCTTCTCTGCTCTGGAAGGACCCTGAACGTTCAAGTGCCTTGGCTCTGGCTGTGGGGGGTGGGAGGGATGGGAACCCATGGCGACCATGTGGGCTCCTTCCCCGTGAGCACTGCTGTGGCCGCGGGTGCATGGAGGTCGCACCCGCTGTCCACAGGAGGAGCTGCGATGACAGGGAGGTGACACAGGCCCCGGCTCTAAGATGGGGGCATGGCCTCCGGCAGGCAGTGGACTGAGTCGCTCAGCCCGAGGGGGCTGAGACAGCTACAAAGAGGAGGTGGCATTTGGACCCTCTTTGGAAAAAAAAAATGAGTTTTACAAGGAAAACACTGGTACTGAGCCCCTCCCCATTCCCCCTGTGTGGGTCTGTTCCTTGCTTGGGTCTCAAACCACACTATCAGGGGGTAAGACTACCATCTTCTGCCGAGTTTATTTGAACCCAGAAGCTCAATGGGAATGCAAGGTTTCCTGCAGATGGTCCAATGGTTTGTAGCCCGCTGGTGCTTAGGGCTGCGCTGGCTGAGGGAGCATTGCTGGCACTGCCAGGCACCGACAGGTACTCAGACAACCTCGGGTGATGTGCTCAGCTAATCACTCTGCTCTGCGGGTCTCCCTTCAGTGGCGTCTGTGTATGCCGAGCAGCGTTGGCTTTCCAAGGCAGAGTCACAGGAGCCGACTCAGAGAGCCTGAGCACAACCCAACAGCATCGCTCCGAGAGCTGCTCTGCGCAGGCGCCGCTCTGAGCATGCTCCAGGGGCCTCTCAGAATCTGCGCCACAAGCCTGTGACCGGGCTGTTATTGTGCCCGTGTCAGTGAATCGGAGCACATTGAACGGGCACAGAATTCCAATTGGGTATTTCCAGCTGTCAAGCAGGCCCGACTTTCCGGCCCCGACCCTGGCGTTCCCACCCAGGGGGTGAGCCAGGACCAGGGAGGATGGCTGGGAGCCTCATCTCTCAGCAGTGGAACTAGGCGTCGCCTATGGGCATTCTGACAGGCTCTCTGGCTTTGCCCTGGAGGTTCTGGTTGGCCCTGGGCACCTGCACAGGTGACGCCTGGTCCCCATGAGGGCGCTGTTCTTGGGGAGGCCACTCCTGGGACACCCACCGCTGTGACTGAGCGTGTTCCCCGAGGTCACTGTCCTCTGACCGGCTTCCAGAAAGGCCTTTCCTCCCTCCTGGCGTCACACACGGGGAAGCGCAGGCTCAGGGAATGAGTCACAGAGTCAACAGCGGGTCGGTCTCAGAATATGACCCCACGTCAGCTCTGTCTGAAGCTGCTGCCACCTTCCCCCTCGGCCTGTGGACGCGGAGGGCACTGAGAGGGGAGAAGGCAGGAGTGGAGGCAGAGTAAGGGAGTTTTATTTTAAATATTTCTTTATTGACTTCAGAGAGGAAGGGAGAGGGAGAGAGAGATGGAAACATCAATGATAAGAGATCATTGATTGGCTGCCTTCTGCATGCCCCCTACTGAGGACTGAGCCTGCAACCCGGGCATTTGCCCTTGGCTGGAATGGAACCTGGGATCCTTCAGTCTGCAGGCCGATGCTCTATCCACTGAACCAAACCAGCTAGGGCTGTTTGTTTATTTTAAATGTGTACGTGGTGGTTATTACCCAACAGATGTAACACTATACCTGCGTTCTGCAAACAAGCTAAAGTAATGGACTTTCGGGAAAATGGGGACTTGAGGAAGACTGTGAAAAGCCAGTGGAGCTGGGTAACCAGGTCACCTTTGAACATTAACAGTCCTGGTGAGTGTCCATGTGACATTAAATCCAGGTGCCCCCAGAA